GTAATAGTTGAAATTAGTGACAGCAGCATAAAATTTTAGTGAAAGGGCCTTCTTCCACTAAACCCAGAAGTTCTTAAATATCATGTTTCAGCAGTTCAATGCCATTACAGATTCCTGGGTGAGCTTTATGCCATTTTTAATTTCCCATTTATGAGAAACGCCCCAGAACCTGTGAATATCTGGTAACTTTTAAAGATGAGAAGCGTATTGTTTGAGAGGGCCTGAAGTCTCTTTTCCTACTGATTTGCCAGGAAAACTGGAAGTAATTAAATATTCCTGATTCTTTTTGTGACTTACCCTGGCATTAAAAATGTGTAAGCTTCATGAAGAAAACAATACAGAGCACGTAATCCACTGTATATTATGCTTTTTTTCTAAATTGATAGTGACCAGAAACTGCAAAGAAATGCACTTGTGATCAAAAGAAAGAAATTCCCTCATGTATAATTTCGATTTGAATTTATTATTTTGTGTAAATACACTGCCTACACCTTGAAGTTGGTCATAAAACACTGATGATGTGGGTGAAGTGGAAAAGCAGGTTAGGTTTAAGTACATTACTTCTCAAATAGACTATGGATCTGGAGACTTTTAGTTAGGCCAAGGAGAGGAGGATAAACAGTCATTGAGCAATTTTATTATGCATTTGTCTTTGCTTTTAGATTTAATTCGGCACCCACTTTGATTGTTAGAACTTCACTAAAAAACCCTGCTTCATTATGCCTCTTCATACTTACTTGTTCTTTGATGATTGCATTTATGGAAAGTGCTTGGGAGGAGTCTTTTAGAGTGACATGGTTTGATGAGGACAAACATCAAGTATTTGGATGTCGTGACAAAAAAAAGCCAGAAGGAGAAATACTTCTCTGAATTTGAGGGTGATTTTTTTCCTAGACAAAAATGAAAGAACTAGATGAGTTTGTGAAGCCTGTGATGGAAACATCATACGTACTTGGCTCCACTGAAGTAACTTTATTGATTTGTGCAGTGAGATTGTCCTTGCAGAACAAGATCTAAGTGATGAGGTTTAAGATTTATAGTAACTTGGTCGGCCAACTTAGAAGGCTGAAACTACAGCCAAACCCCCATTCTTTATGTTAATAATTTTTAGACAAAAGGTCAAAACAAGCTGTTCCAAGCTTGCAGTGAAATCTAGAGCATCTAAAGCCAACTGAAACCCTGCAGATACTTTGCTGTAGTAATGTCTGTTCTGTCTCTGTGGCTCATGGAAAGTCACATGTTCTCAAACTCTTATATGAATTACCAGATTCAGTAGGTGCTTATTTTTCTGTATAAAATTTGGTGACTTACTTCCTAGGAAATATAATTATTCAAAGGGTATATTTTGTTCACTTCCCTTCCTATAGAATAGTATTTCTATGTTGTCTGGTATTTCAGGAAAAAAAAGGACAATAAAATTTAAGACTACACTTTTGTGTCTTCTAGGCCAGTCCAACCATTGGTCAGACACAACATGGAAGATATTCAACACTTTCCACTAAATACGGAATGAATTACCATCATGTCATGTACACTTGATTGCGTAGTCACTTTCAGGATACATGATCATTCTGAGGATTTCTTTGAAATTCTCATTTTAAAAATCTTTTCAATTTGAGAAAAATTCACATTAAGAACACTTTCACATAAAGAAAAATTTTTAAGTGCTAGGTTAAAATGTGTCAGTATTTTTTTTTTTTTCCTGTTTAAATATATATATTTTTGCTAGCTTGGTAGAAGTATCTGTACACTTGGGAGGAAAGGTTGCTTTTAAACTAATGTTGGTAAAGCTCTTTTGTGAAACTGAAAGAGAATATATTTAGTAACAGGATTTTTTATTTCCATAGGCTTGTACCATAATCAACAACTCAGTTGTGCAACTGACTGCTTAGTAAACACCTTCACTATCCTGGCATAGGAAAGAGGGGGGCAGTTCTGTTACATGAAAGCAATAGAGTATATACTACCCTAAAAAAACCTATTTGTTTGGAGTGTAGGAGGATGGAGGTTTTTATACTAACTTTGACCTTTACATACGCCTTGGGGGAGCAAGGTATTCATGGAGCTTCGTGGGAACATTTGGGGCTGATTGGGAACTGAAGTATATCCTGCCTTTCTTGCTGACCACAAAAACACATCTTAAGATAGTGAAAGAAAACTTCCTCAGACTTTTAAAATACAAATGTAGTTGCCTATGCTATAAATTGCAAATCAGAGCATGAAGAGTAACTTCTCCCCTCAGTTTACATCCTCCTGAGCGTGGCAGTGAAGGAGGGGAGGGGAGGGGAGCAGGGCTCTGTCCCTGGCTCCTTAGCAGGTTTGAGGTGGTTTAGGGTTTTTCTGAATTTATTTATCTTTTTTTAATGTAGGGTGATCTGGGGCAATGTCCAAACAGTAAGAGATGACAAATAATCCTGGGGGCATGTAGCACCCCTCCTTGCTTTGGTGGAAAAGTCTTGGTGTGTGCTTGTGCAATACTTAATTATCCCACTTCACATGATCATACAGAGCTGAAATTTGTACGTACTTGTGACTATTTGTCCAGGTTTTGTTACATTACAAGATAAATGACACATTATATGTACTGATATTATATTAAAGTCTACTTAAGGCTTTAACATGTTAGGTGACAACTGAAAAATTGTCCTAGTACTGCAGAGCAACACTGAGCCCACTTCATGAAGAGCATGACAAACAACTTTTTTTTTTTCCAGTATAAACTTAGGCTTTGATTTACACTGCTAATTTGTGCAGCTTTTGACAAGCACCACGTATTATTCTGTACCTATGAATATTGCTTGTATTACTTCAATTGAATTTTTTTAAAGCAGGTTGTTTAAGATTTCAAAAGTTGGGGTTTTTTTTCCTTTCCATATAAATGTTCTATTAAAAACATTTGTGGTTTAAGATTTAAATAATGTTTTTTTTGTCTTTTAATAGGTGAATGTCTACGTGCTGGGAAAAACTTTCCTTCTGTTGGCCAGAGAACTCTGCATAAATGCTCCAGCCATAGGTATTTTTTTTATGAGTTGACTTTTGAGTATTTGGGTGGATTTTCTACATGGTTATTTGACAAGAATATATATGTATGTGTGTATATATACATAGTCTTGTGTGCTAAATACCAAAGTGGTAACTTAAAAATGAAGCTGGAATCAATCCAGGCAGAAGAGCATTGTGCTGAATTGCTGACTATGAGAGCCTGTTCTATGTAAGAGTTTTTTGGGAGCTAGATGCCATTTTCTTTTACAAATAGTTTTGTTGCTTTTTCTGAGAGTAGTTTAGGCTATTCTGAGACAATGGGCTGCTGTGTAACAAATTTGTGTGTGTCAACAAGCTCGCACAGGCCTGTCACACTTCAATTCCACAGAGATGCAACATTTGATAAATATTTGCCAAATTTACTATCTGTCCATCACCTGTAGCTGAGGTATTCAGTGCTTGAAATACAAGTGGCTTGATGGAAAACGAGGAGCAACTTTCTCCAAGCACATGAATACCTTCTTAATTAGTCAGTCATCACTGAAATCGTAACAGTGATAGGAAGGTGGGTTTTAACCAGTCAAAAGGGTAAAAAAGCTATTGTCTAGGCTGTAGCTTTTAAGCGAAGGGAATTCATGCCAGTTCCAGTTAAAAGAGTGTGTTTATAGAGAGGTCTTGTGACTGTTACCCACCTCTGTGCAGGAGTTTTCTTCTGTATCTTTACCCATTGTCACTCCCACTCTCCTTAATCTGTACCGAGAGAATCGGATGCCTTTGTGTTCAAGAACAACACATGCGTGCCCCTTCAGATGTACTCAGCTGGGCACGTATCTCTCTTCCTCTGCCGCAAGAGAACCAGCAGCTCCATACTGAGCACCACTGTAACACCATCCAGATAGTATGTGGCAGTGCACAGCTACCAGCCATTGTGGTGTGCTGGCTTCGTTAGCGTAGCTTGATGTCTGGTAGAAAGTTCTTGTTTTCAATAATTCAGTTGCCTTCTTATTTTTCATTACTTTTTTTTTTTTTGAGAGAGAGAGCGAGAACAGACAGAATTTGTATTGCAGCTTAGTTTCAAGGTGAAAATTAATGCAGCTTAGGAAAAGAGAAAGCCCTTTTAATTTAAAGGTAGAGGTACTTGTTAAACATCAGAAAAAATCCCAGTTTAGACTGCTGTTTGAGTATTCCTTCCAAGGTCATTATAACAAGTGAGATTTATAAAAAACAGTTAAGTATTTCTAATTGGCTCATCTGTAATGATTGTCAGACACTTGAGAAAAACCACCTACTTTTCTCAGAGTGATAAAAGTTAAGGGTACTAGCTCTAAAATGACTGCTGATAGTGGATGGGACTCTGTTTTTAGAAAAAAAAAAATAAAGGGGGAGGAAAGATCCAGCAGCTTTTGTTTAAGGTGGCTTGTTTCTAATTAGTAATTTTGAGTGAACTTAAAGAACATACTACAAGTATTTCTCTCATGTCTGCTCCTAAATGTGATGATGGGATGTATATTTAGATAGTGGCTGCCAGTACTACAGCTCTGGGCTAAATCTGTGATGAAGCCTGTCACTGCATTAAGCTTCATCTGTATGTCTTGACTCTGGCCATTCAAGTGGGGTGTAGTTTGACAGGTGCAAGAGTCAGCGTTGCTGTTTGCTGGGAAGGCTGGAGGTTAACACAGATGATGTGTGTGAATGGGCATTAGAAGCTTTCAGATATAACCACAGGATGATTTTGATCAACTTTGATTACACTCATTGTTTGTCTGTCTTCAGGTTAGGCAACACACAAAAACCCCTGAGCTTCCACATATGTCAGCTCCCTTTTTCGTGAAAGACAATAAAGGCTGCTGATGGATAGTCTCAGTTACCAGGCAAGGGAACCTTCGTATTTGCAGTGATAGCATCCCTGCGTCGATGTACACAGTGAACAGACTACAGTATCATCACCCCTGTTAACTGTACTATAGATGAATTAACAGACACAAGCCACAAGATCAGCAATGATCAAGTACACAGGATTTAGGGCAAGTAAAAATGTTTTATATTTCACAGATTCGTAAACTGCTCTAGTTTAGAACATTCTGTTTAAGTCAGCTGCAGTCTGCAAGTTAGTCATCTATATACAAAATAAATGCACAGTACGTGCAAAATTTAACATTTTTCTGCTTGTTGCAGTCTTAATAATTAAGTCAAATAGCTTATGAATAAATAAAATAAGATTAAATTCAAGAGCATTCCTTCACTTATTTGTATAGCCTGATGTAGCAGATAGGTAAGTAGCGTAACATTCCATACTGCTGCAAAGTTTGTAGTAAAACTGAAAAATCCCTTAATGTGCATCATCGCAGTATTGGAATACAATCAAGGTGAAATGCATCATGCATAGAAAATGAGCTCAGGTATTTGTCCTCCTTGTACTCCGGTTCCATTAGTACTGTCCGAGGAGCACTGGAACTGGAAGGTCACTTTCCCGCACTGCACTTCAGTCATTCCCTCTTGCCCAAAGTAACTGAGTTCGTTACCATCAAGAATAGCACTTACATTGTAAAACGTGTCTTGCTCGACCTGCACAGGGTGTTCAAACCACACAGAGAAAGTGTTACTGGAGCCGTCGGAGGTAAACTTTGTCAGATTTTGAGCAAGGACAACTCCTAAGCGCTTCAGTTCGATTTTGACGCTGTATTCAGCTTTGCCACAGCTTGACCCATACAATCCCAGTCCTGCTATAAATATCCGTTTGTCTACAGCAAACTGAATACTGTCACATCGCCCTCGGTACCTCCACTGATTGCTGCGGTATGCAGACGACTGAAACCGATGGCATCGCTGAGGTACAAGTCCTTTTCTTTTTGTCAGTGGAAACTCTAGTTTGGGTTTATTTGCAGCTGTGTACCACAGGAATATGTTGTGAGTTTCCTCAAGGGTGAGGATGTCAGACTGGGCAGCTCCGTTGGCAAACTCTTCCAATGTCATGGTCGGAATCCGCACCAAGTACAAAGCTTTTCCTAATACACTCCTCTTGTTGCGTGGCGTAACTGGCAGCCCTTGCCTTTTGCATTCAGCCTCTGCCCAGTTGAGAACGGCCTCGAAAACTACCACTTCCTTGGTGTTGAGTGCCTCCCGGGTTACAATGATCTCTAGTGTTTGTTGATCTATCTCACAGAAGCCCTCTGACTTCAGTGCCATTTCTGCTTGAGCATCAATCACTTCCCAGCAGCGCTGCGTCAGCTCTGGCTCCTCGAAGAGCCTGCTCTGAGACAGCAGGACACAAGCGTTCTTCGCTTCTAAACTGGTCTCCAGAAAATTGACGCAAGCCTTTGCTAGGGCCGGCACGATGTACTTCTTGGCAGCATACAGCGTCGCCAGAACTGTATCAGCTTCCAGGTCTATTTCATCACTATACATGTATCTAGATGGGGGGGGGGAAATATAGGCCATGAAAGACTGATCTACAGTCATCTTTGCTGGCAGAGAATTTGACATTCAGTATTTGTCAGAACATGAAGCAGACAGTAATAAGTGCGTATTGCACAATACCAATTAGGAGATGTATATTTTATAAGCTACTTTGATTCTGTCCACGTAATTAGCAGACTTGTAGTGGCCACTTACTTTAATAGGATTAGAAAGGCTGCAGGTTCCACATCTGGTATATGGATTTCAGATTTGACCTCTGCGAGATCACCATAAAACATAGCATAGAAGACAGAGCTACCAACTGCCAAAACATACTGGAAAATAAAGAGAGAGAGAAGCCTCAGTAATACGTATTGGTAATGGCTGAGTGTGCTGGCTTTTGATAAGAGCTACACTTAGGGAAAGTTAAAAGCTGCAGTGGAGGCAGAAGACTGACTTAGACTGTTCCCTGTAATTGCACTGTATGTGAACTGCTTCTGGGATTAGACGAGAGCTTTAATGGGGGGGGGGGGG